CCACTCTTTCTTGTATTGGTTTGGAACGGTTTTTTACCTAGATTTCGGTCTCGGAACCGATTAGTGAAATAATTATACTTTTGTGGTAAGAAAATCGGTTCGAAAATAAAACCATGTGAAAATGTTTTACTATTCGGTTATTGGTTCGATTTTTGGTTCAGTTTAGTTAGAACCGGACCAGGTTTGTCCAAATCAAAGACCTAATAATATCCCGGTTCGAATTCCCATCATCGTCCTCCCCTCGAGGAATAATTGCCTTTAACAGGGTTTTACATTTTTTAGGGTTTTATCTCCAATCCAACCAAAACTCAACTTTTTTGTTTTCTGTATCAGAGCTCGCCAATTTAGTTCTTTTTTTTTTTTTTACTTTGGAGACTCTTAATTCAAGTATAGCGAAGGATTGAAGATGGATGCGAAAATTTCTGTGTCGCCCACAAGCCTCGTTGATAAGATTGTCGTCCGTATTTCTTCTACTTTCCCAGAACTCAAAATCCCACAAAAAAAAAAAAAATCGTTTCTTTAGGGTTTCGATTCGATTTTGTTACAATGAAAGATGAGTTTTTTTCCATGGATTTTGACTTTTCAGGTTCCAGGTGATGTTGTTCTTGATTTGTCAAACATGAGTAACCAAACAATCAAGCTCGGTGGTGGCCTCCGTCAGGTTTCATCTTCCTCAATTTTGTTGTGTTACACATTTGCTTCCTCGAGCTGCAAGGCAAAGGAAGTAGAGGCTTACATGTGTGTTTGTTTTGGCTTCTTTCAGGATAATGATGCTATCTCTGCCACGCGAGCTGGCAAGTTAAGTTACTCGAAGCCTAATAAGTATTCGATCGAAAGTTCTCATAAACGGGTGAGTGAGCTCAATGGTTTAGTATCAGTGAAAAACTCTCACAATTGCATCAGAAAGAATTTGTCTTGGTAGTTATTGATCATGTACATCTGGCTTGATTGGATAAAATAACTGTAGATTTACCATTCTAGTTTCGAAAACTCTAGTAGGAGTATTCGTTGTTGATTATCTATGTAAGTCTCTTTGTTGTTGACTCTGTTCTTTCGATTTTTGCAGTACATTCCTCGCCCTGATGATCATGTTCTTGGAATTGTGGTAGATTCTAGATCAGATGTGAGTCCTTTGATATCTTTTTCATATACATTTTTCTACTGATTTTAGATCCCTCTTAGATTGGTCATCTCTGAAGATCAAGCTCAAGCATTTTGTTATATTTTAGTCGTCAAATACGAAACAAAGATATGTTTATCAATGTCTTTGACTTCAGTCCTCATGTCTCTGAGCTAATATATGGTGGAACGTTTGAGTTTTCTTCACGCATGAACTTAGATTATTTTAGGTATTGATTTTTTTTTTTTTTATTTGGCTCATTATGCATTGCAGAATTTTTGGGTAGACATAAAAGGACCTCAAATTGCGCTTTTGCCAAATCTTGCATTCGAAGGAGGAACAAGAAGAAATATTCCCAAGTTTGAAGTATGCACAATCCGATAAAGCATTGAGCCTCTTGTCTTCACTTTTAGAATGATTATATGTGGTTTGCTTGTTTTGGGGAAGTTAACATAGATTCATGTTATAACTTATATACAGGTGGGCACTTTGCTTTATGTTCGTGTTGTCAAGACAAACACAGGAATGAATCCCGAGCTGTCCTGTACTGATGGTAAGTCAAAATCTGAGAAGCTTAAAATTGTTGATTCTCTATATTACTGTAAATGTTTTCGAAACTAATTGTTGCTTTTTACAATGTAATTAGCAAGTGGCAAAGCTGCAGCATTTGGACCCTTGAGAGATGGTTTCATGTTTGAAACGTCAACTGGTCTTTCAAGAATGTGAGACATACTTCCTCATACACTGTCTCTCTTACACTTCATCTGGATTCTCTCTACTCAAAAAGATTTTAACTTTCTAATTCCTTATAGGTTGTTGAGTTCACCAACGTGCCCAGTCCTCGAAGCTCTAGGAAAGAAACTTTCATTCGAGATCGCCACTGGCTTAAACGGCAGAGTGTGGGTAAATGCAGCTGCTCCGCGTTCAGTCATTATAGTGGCCAACGCGATAATGAACTCAGAATCCTTAAGTGGAACTCAGCAGAGGATAATGGTTGAGAAATTGCTTGCAAAAATTTCAGACTAAGGCATTGACACTTGAAAGGTCATTGTTCCTTGAAATGTAATCAAACCTTGATACCCTTTTAGCAAGTGATTTTGTTTTATTCAAATACATTTTATACAGTCGAAGTAGTTTGGTGGAAAATATTGAAAACATATTCCAACTGAAGAAACTCTAATTTGTTACAACAATGAGCCAATAAACTATTGAGGCAAGTGCTGCTCTTATGACTGACCGAATGTTATATAAGCTATGTTACATTACATCTGAGAGAGAGAGGGAGGCTCGTATCTGCAAACACAATCATATATGTTTCCCTTTATCAACTTCTCAGCCAATCTCTGATTCTTCACCATTGCTAGCTGCAAAAGAAGAAAAGAAAAAGAAAGGTTTGCATCAAAAGTTTCAATAGCATTCTTAAGAGGTTCGAGTTGTCTCTCAAGTGAGGTTGAAACCTTGAGAGCCTCGCATTTGAATTGCGCGTTGAAGTTGGTGTGAAGTGCTCTTCCCATACCTTCCAAGATAACCTGCAATATCATTAAACATCAAATAATGAACAAAGTGTGTGAAGTTCTTTTCCAGGTGAAAAGAGAGAAGGTTTTTTAGGTACAAGATCGGCGTCTTTAGCAGCGGCAGCAAGCTCAGAGCTGACTTGTCTGAGGTCGATGCAAGGACTCCCGCATCCATTTTCAACAACCATCAATGGTGCTGAAGTTGAGTCCTTTGACCCATCCCCCGGATTTACCATCGCATCCACAAGTAAGCCTCCCATTTCTGCCGCTCTCCTCAGGATGTCACAGTGCTTCAAGAGTAAAGACAGAACAAAATAGTTGGTTACATGTAACAACATTATAACCACCGTATAGAATCAAAACTTTAACTGACAACACCTTAGCAGCCCCGGCGACTATATCAGGGAGTTCCATAGCAGTCACATCATTAAGAGCAGGAAGAGAGTTTGCCACTAGAACAACCTGGAGAATCATAATAACAATTTTGTGGGTGTTTCCTCAACTAATTTCACAAAGAAACCATTTCTATAGTGAGCTACATACTTCAGTCCCACGACGGAGAAACTCTCGGGCAAGAGGAAGCATCCCAAGAATGACGTCTGCTCCTGAGTTATCAACAAAGAGTAACGCTCTTTTATGTCGATGAGGCTGCTTATCTCCAGATCCTAGCATCCTTTCTTTGAAAGCATCAAAATCATCTACCTGATTTTACGGATAACAGAAGATTTCCAGCATAAAACTAACAATTAGCAATGACAACGTCAACAAAAGAAGGTGTTTTTGGCTCACCCTCCATGGTCTCTGCATCTTGTTGCGACTCATTCTGTATATTTCAATGATGGTTCCTTTATGATATAGATCCACACATGCCCGAGATCCCCAGTCGAATATGTTTGCTGCTAGAACACCTTCTATAAGTGTAAGCAGCCTCGCCTCCTGAWAATCCGAGCAAAATTTAAAGCACTAATGAGAGGAGTTCTCATCTATAGCACTAAAATGTCAAGTGCCAAACCATAAACCTACACAGAGAGGAAGGTTAGAGATCACAGACCTCGCTCATTGAATCAAGCTCCTCCAGTAAATCAGGTAAAACAGCAAGTGACGCCTCGTTCTCCCTATCGGTTTCGAAGAAAGAGAGGAGGGCATAAGAGAAACTCAAGTAGGAGAGAGATAGGACTATGTTTTACCTTTGCTTAATACTTCTATAGGCATCAACAAATTGGAATTCTCTTAAGCATTCTTCCCTAAGTTCCAAGAGATTGGCTAGCCCCAGCTTACCATATGCAGCTGGCTCTTCCATTAATCTACAACCAAAATAAATTGTCAGCCAAAGGCAAAAGCACAGGAAATAAGATTTTCTTTTTAACTATAAATTTTCTGTTTGACAGATTGTAGTAAAAGTCGCATAGGCTTGACTGGACAGAGGGATAACAGATGAACCAAACCTTGCCAAATGAGCAGAAAAAGCACGAGCAAAAGCATCACCACGCCTTTTCGCATCTTCAGTTCCTCCTTCACTTGCCACAGCCTATACTCATGTCCATAGAATAATTGTGAAGCAAGAGTTACAGGCCATACGGAATCTTCACCACCCAAAAAGAAACATTACTGAATGTGTTAACTTTAACAGTTACCGTATCAACGAGGTCTGGCAAATGCTCGGACAAAACTTTGAGCCAGTACCTACACACCAAAACACAATAAGCAATCTAAGAGACTGATTTCATCAAAGAAAACCACTGTTTTGGAAAAACAACATCGACTTATTACTCACTCTCGTTCGCCTTGATCTGATAGATCAATTGTGTTAGGCTCATACCTGTAGAAAAACAATTAGACACACAGAAACACATAAATCCTCCAAAATCATGAACAAGCGGCAAACCATGAGGTATACGTACAAGGTCAATACACTACTCGGGGACATGGCCACTTACATTTTTGGGTCAGCCAGCAATGGGAACACCTCTAGTGTAGGCACAAGATGGAGAACGCCAACATTTAAAGCACTGGCGTCAGATCTTAGAGCACTACCTCTGGATGAGGGAACTTCAAACCCTCCAAGACCAGTCGTTTTTGAAGGAGTCATCGGCACAGGAGCAGTTATTTCAGTTCCTCTACGCACAAACTTTTCCATCCACGATATCTGAAAACAAGCAAGCAAGCTCCTTGAACTCCAAATTTTATTTAAACCAGATTCAAGATACAGAACACTTATAACTACTACTTTAAGTAATATCTCTGTACTATTAGCAAAAGAAAAAGTTGAAAAAAGAGGAAGAGCACCTGATTCCATCTCGTATTCAAACTTCAATGGACTATTCTTATATAAATTTCATTTCATCAACAGTTGCTATATATCTAAAATAAAGGTTTTGCTTTTGTTAAGAAATTTCCAAAAAGGAATTGTCTGTATGTCAGAGATCAGTAGAACAGTGGATCTTTATAAAGTTATAGAATATCAACAAAGTTGGTTAATTTAGGAGATAATTTCCGATACTTAATCTTGCTTTTTATTATTCTTTATGTCACATACAGATGATACTTTGTATT